ATAAACATGCTTCTGTTACTGCTTATTCCCTGATCATGCTGTATTATTCATAGAGCTTACCACCACGTGACATTATGTTGTTTTTAGTTGCTCTCTTAGGTATCTAGTGCGGCTATTACAGAAATACCACAAGTAGGTGGCGTTAACAAACAGAAGTTTATTCTTTCACGGTTTATGTGGCTAGAAGTCTGAATTTAGGGCACAAGCTCCAGGGGAAGGCTTTCTGTGTCTGTGGACTCTGGGAAAAGGTCCTTGTAATCAATCTTCCCCTGGTCTAGGAGCTTCTCAATGCAGGGACACCGACAAAGGATGCAGTCCGCTTCTGGATCTTGGTGGCAGGAGACCCCCTCGTGCCCCTCCCTCCGCCTCTCTCTTTTATATCTCAAAAGAGATTGGCTAAGTATACAACCTAAACCTGCATATTTTGTCCTGCTTTGTTAACATAACTGCCTCTAATCCTATCTCATTAAAATCTTAGAGGTTAGGATTTACAACACATAGGTAATCACATCAGATGATAAAATGGGGGACAACCACACCATACTAGGAATCATGACCTAGACAAGTTGACACACACTTTTTAGAGACAGAATTCCATCCGTAACAGTTGTTGTGGAGTCAGTTCTGACTCTCAGCGACCCCATGTGTGCAGAGCTCCATAGGGTTTTCAAGGCCCTGATCTGTCAGAGCAGATTGCCAGGTCTGTATTCCAAGGAACCTCTGAGTGGCTTTGAACCACCAGCCTTTTGACTAGTAGTCAAGCGCTTACTACTTGCACCACCCGGGGAACTTGACATTATATTTCGTTTATTTACTACCCATACCCAAAGAAGTTATGATCCACGTGTATCTGCATATTTCTGGTTTGTTCAGTGCTGTATCTGCTTTGCCTGTGTGAAGTAGGCTTTATGTCAATATTATCCTAAATAGTTTTAATAAATAACAGAGTCAGATGTAAAGGTGTAGTGAATTACTTAATATGGCCCTTCTAGCAATAATCTTTGTAACTCCAACCAGAAGATTGGGTGGAACCATGGTAATAAGGTATATGGAACCCTAACAAGGGGATTGGTCAGCTTTGCCATTCTGCTAGGCTTAAAATGAGCCATACCAACGGTGCAAAAAGAGGATCTCACCACCACCAAAGAAGTAGGAACAGGAGTGGAGCACATCCTTTGGACCTGGGATCCCTGTGCTGAGATTCTGCTAGACTCAGGAGACAGAGAAGATGGCAAGATGTCGAGAAGCAGCAGCAGAGGAATGGCAACAGCAGAGACAGCAGAACCAGGAGACTGACAAGAGACCAACAAGAGACAGTATAGTGGGCTTCCCAGCCCACAGAGTAAGAAAGCTGACTGCTTCCAGGCCGATGGCTTACAGGCAGAGTAGGGTGCCTCTGGGCACTTGGTGTGGCTATGTTTGCTGACCCAGAAAGCTAGAGCTGGGCACCTTCAGGCTGAGGCTTCCTGGCAGACTGGGGTGCCTCAGGGAACTTACTGGAAGAGCTAAAAGGGCTTTGTAATACTTGCCCAGGCAAGGCAGAGGACAAGGGGCCAGAGAGTGGTGGGCCAGGGGGCACAGCTGAGAAGAGACTGTCATGATGGAAGAAGTGTATCCTGAGACTTCCTGGGCATAAATTGTAACCAGTTATTTCTCTAATAAACCCCATAATCACGAGTATTATCTGTGAGTTTTGTGTGGCCATTGCAATGAATTACAGAACTCAGAGGTAGAGAGTGCTCTGGGAGAAAAAATTGGTATCTGAATTGGTAAAGATGGTGGAGAGAGGAGGCATGTCTGACATCCGCCTCATAGGAATCAGCCTTGAGCTGTTCTTGATTCTCATTCCCCCTTGTGAAGTTAGAGGAGGTCAGACACTGCCTCTGCTGCACCATTATCACAAAGGGCTTGAAGGGAAGTAGCCTTACCTGAGACACTGGGCTTTGCCAGAGGAGATCCAGGTTGTCTGAATTCAAGAGGATGTTTCCTTTGTCTCTTGTCCCCACTACCCATACCATTTGGTTAACATTGAGCAAGTGATTAATTAATTGTAACTTTCCCCGCCATAACCCATTTGAAGCAATATTTTCTTAGGAGAGGCTTGAGGAATAATGAGCTAGTGTGCTGAAAGCTTTTTGAAAATCCCTTCAGAGATTGTAGTTGCTTAATAAATGCAACATTTTATCATGAATATGTTGTAGAAATGGAAGTTAGGGTTTTTGATGGCTTTAAAATATGTATCCTGCTGCACTGCAGTGGAGGAGACTTTTGAATGTGGCTCTGGATCAAAGATTGCTGTGAAACTGTCTTAGGATTGATTAGCAGTGACCTTGACAGCTTTCTTCACCCAGTAGCCTATCTGTTCTACAATAGCCCTGCTGTTCTGTAAAACTGTAACTTCAGAAGTGCCATGTAGCTGCCTTTTGTGTCCTCACTACACGTGGGAGCTAAAGGGTCAGTGGTATTTCAAAGAGGCCAGTCCTACAGCCCAGACGATGCCAGTGGTCAGGGTTGAGGTGGTCATGCTTGTGTACCTTCTAAGGGCTGTAAATATGAGAAAATTTTGGAGTGGAGCATCCACAGGGTTGGTGTGTAAGTCTATTTCTTGCAATGCACAAGTTGTGTAACAGCTAAATCCCCTGCACATCAGTGAACTTACTGGAAAATGTCTGTTTTAACCTCTTGTTCATGGTCAGCAAACACAAGGATATGCTATTATGATTCTTCAAAATTGGGCTGTTTGTCATCTTATAACATGAGTGTGTGTATGGGTGTCTGGGTTTGTGTTTGTTGAAGGGAGAGTCATAATTTCTGTACAGTAGCTTTGGGTCTCAAAGTTTGAAAATTGTGATGATATCTAGATTCTCTTGTTTTCTGTGTCTCAGCTGATACCCGTTTACCTTTGCAATACCCTTGCCTGTCTCCCTGAAGGACAGAGTGCATGACAATGCACTGGTAGAGTTATTGAAAAGTAGGTGACAGATATGTAAAAATTTGCAATTCCTCAAAATAATATTTCTTTTTTAGCAGATGATACTGTCAGCCTCTGATCACCTGGAGTTCTTCAAGAAAATATGACAAGCATAGTGCCTTCGGTTGGGTTGCCCTTTGTGCAGTCCACTGGGGCCCCCATGGCTGGTGAGGGGCAAAAGGAAAAACTGGCAGTCCTGCAGTGTTTCCCATTTGTTAACATTTCATCCTCTCACCCTGTGCTTCATGTTTTGTTAAATATTCTGCTGGGTCCTGTGCAAGGAGGTGAACTTTTGTTTTCACAAGGAGGAAATGATCCAAATGTGGAAATAGAGCTTCACTCTATTTCTCCAGTTGATGCTATGTGTTCTAACTATTCTAGACCTTAAAGGTAGAGAGGAATGAGACAACAGTTGGTCACATCAGACTGTGGAGAAGTAAGTTTATTGTGTTGGAAGGATTATTAAGTCTGTGAGACAGGATGCAGTCCGTGAGGAAGTGAATGTAGACATGAAGGGATGAGGCTGATGGCTAACCCCTATCCTAGACCTTAGTAGAACACAAAACCTGTGTCTAATCCCCATGAAATCTCAGTTCCCAAGGACTGTCAGCCTCACCATTCCTTTCACACACACTGGAGTATGTAGTACCTTGCTAAACCAGGATATGTTTGAATTTTTAGGACTCAGTGGCTCTTGAGGATGTGGCTGTGAACTTTACTCAGGAAGAGTGGGCATTACTGGATCTTTCTCAGAGGCAACTCTACAGAGATGTGATGGTGGAAATCTTCAGAAGCCTGGCCTCAGTAGGTATGGATTAAAAAAACCCCAAACCCATTGCCGTCATGTCGATTGTAACTCATAGTGACCCTACAGGACAGAGTAGAACTGCCCCATAGGATTTCCAAGGAGTGCCTGGTGAATTTCAACTGCTGACCTTTTGGTTAGCAGCTATAGCTGTTACTTTTTAATTTTTTTAAATTTTTTTGTGACCAAGTATATCATTCCCATCAATTTTATTCCACTACGTGGGCCAAGGAATAGGAAAACATGTTAAAAAGACCAGTGTGGTCATTTGCTGTCTGGAACATGCGTATCTTGGCTTCCTATGAATACAGAGCTGTGTGTATTAAACTGACTTCTCATTTCAATTGTGATTTATAAAAGCCTTAAGGCTGTTTAAATGTAAATGTGAGTGTTGACTTCAGGGGTTTCTTTGGTACACACAGAAAATATTTGTGGTTTGGGACCATGTAAAGAGTCTTGCTTTGTTTATTACCAATTTGACATGATTATTTTGCTACAAATGAATTCACACCTGCCAATACCCAGAGACCCTGAGGACCAAAGTATTGGCTGAGTGTCAGGGAAGTGTTCATTGCTTCTCCCTGTCTTCCCTAATGATATGCCTTTCTCCATGATTACCACGTCAGCTACACCCATTTGTTCTCCCAGAGTAGCAAGAGGAAGACCTGAGGAGAGTGCAGATAGCACTTGTCCCGGACCACTGTGTCGGGGGCACCAGGAGGCAAGAATAGTTTAAAGGACTGGGCCTGCATGGAGGGAATGAGATTTGAAAAAATCAATTAGAAAAAGTCTCTTTTGGGTTGAGGAGTATGTACTTCACAGATACCTGAGCTTTTTTGAATTTTATCAGTCCTGACACACCTGGTTCATGGAGAAAGACTGTCCCCTTTTCCTCTTTTAATGTTCCGTGTTCATTGTGTCCAATTTGTACTGTACTCTTCTAATTACACCGTATGTATGTCACCATGACTCTCAATCTTCATGGAAGTATTTCCTAGTAAATTGCATTCTCAACATTGCCAAAGTACGGAAACAGCAAAATGTGTCAGAAGCTTTCTTTGCTCACAGCTACCTTTTCCCTCTGAGTATTTTCTTTCCTTTTTCTTTCATGTTGTGAACCTCACCTTAAATCATTGGTCAGCTTCTCAAAACCTTATTGATGGAGACAAGCTATCCACTGAAAATATAATAGTACGACTCATGAAAAATGACAACTGTTCCTCGATGGTAAAAGTCCACGAATTGCCTATCACTGAAGATAAGGATAACAACCAGAAAACACTTGTGAGGTGAGTATCATTTATGTGAGAGACAGCAGTGCTTCATGAGAGAGTCTTAAGAAGATATAATGACATTAAAATATTTATATATCTAAGGAACCTAGGTGGGACATATGGTTAAGCACTTGATTGCTAACCCAAAGCTTGGCAGTTCAAACCTATCTGGTGGCTCTGTGGGAGAAATACCTGGCAATCTGCTTCTGTAATAATTACAACCAAGAAAACCCTATGGTGCGGTTCTTCTCTGTCACATGGTGTCACTGTGAACTGGAATTAACAGCACTTAACAAGAACTATATATATACATATATATGTATACAGACACAGCCTCACATGCATATGTGTATACACACACACACACACACATATGTATGTATAAAAACCCATTGCTGTCAAATCTTTTTCTGACTCATAGTGACCATATAGGACAGAGTAGAACTGCTCCATAGAGTTTCCAAGGCTGTAATCTTTAAGGAAGCAGACTGCCCTATCTTTCTCCCTCGTAGCCGCTGGTGGGTTCAAACTGCCAACTTCTTGGTTAGTAGCCGAGAGCTTAACCACTGCAGCAGCAGGATTCGTAGGTTTTTATGCACATATATATACGTGTATATATGTACGTACGTATATGCACACACACACAGGCACACACCTGCTGGTCACTTTTCGACATGTTTAAGTTCCAAAGACAAGATCTTTTTGCCGAAATCGGCATTATGTGAAAATGAAGGATTTTTTTTCCTGTTTTTAGACCATTTGTCAAATTATATTTAGAAAATATGATCATACACATAATAACAGCTAAGATTTACTAATGTACTCGTTACTATGATGAGTCCATTTATGAATTATTCCTCTGAAGAAGGAGGCTTGGAGGAGACAAAGCTGGATAAAGCTGTGCTGTGTCCCTGGAGGGCCCACAGCTTAACCACTTCACCTTTCTCCTGTGCTTGGTCAGAGATCCCTTTGTGGAGCTGCCTCCAGGGCTCCAGTCCCACCCCTACGAGCTCTGCATTCCAGATCCCAGAGCCTATCCTGCTCCTGGCCTGGCGAGTCACCAAGGCTCAGGGTTTTGTGAGTGAGCTGTGAGCCTAGCTACGCAATCAGGCCCTGTTCACCTCACTTTGGCGTGTCATTAAACTCGCAAACATTTCTTCCAAATACCTTCTCTGTTGCAATTTCTTTCCTAGCTTTCCACACCCCTACAGTTTTGAGTTGCAGGGCCTCAGGTTGCATAGGATAGAAACCCAGAAGAGGTGCCTGCTGGCTGAGCACTGCGTGTGCATCCATCTGGAGGCTCTGGCCACAGAGGAGCCCGGCCCTGTCCAGCAGCTGGATGTGGCAACCCTGCCAGCAGAAGGTACCAGAGGGTGCAGGGTAGCACTGCCCAGGTTCTCTGAGGCCACTCTGAAACCCTCTTCATTAATGTGCAAAATAATAGAGTTTTCCAATTTTCACAAATGCGAAATTTCAGATAATGAGGTAGTTGATAAGTGAGGAGTAGGGATGTCTGTGTATGTGTGTGCATCTCAAATCTGTTGTCTATTCTGACTCTTGGCGGTGCTGCTGGGTGGGTTTGATCCACCAGCCTTTTGGTCACATGGGGTCACTAAGCTGGAATCAACTCAACAGCACTTAACAAGAACAATTATATACATACATATACACACAGACACACACACATATGTGGCAGTACAAACTTTTGTGCCATTGAGGTATCTTATATGTGTATATAAAATCAGTTCTAATATTGTGTGTTCACAGAATTTTCACAATACAATGTTTTCATAAATGTGAGTCAGATATTTAATATTTGAAACATTTCACTTAAATACAGTTGTTAGAGAGCACCATACTTAGAAACTCAGTAAAAATAATGGTAGCATGTCTGCTAGATGATTTAATCTACAAAACATGAGACAATTCAGGGCAAAAAAAATACATGTTTAATCTGTATAGTAATGGTGAAATGCTAACAAATTAGTATCCAACAGCATGCTGCCTATTTTTAACAGAAGGCATATATTAGAGAACCTCTTCGAAAGTAATGAAGACAATCATTGTGGACAGACCCTCAACCAGATTCCAAATCTTTCTGTGCTAAAAAGAACTCCTGTGGAAGCATATCCTTCTGAATGCCTTGAATGTGGAAAATTCTTGATGAATCATTCATCACTTAAGCATCATATCAAATCTCACTCTGGATGCAGTGCCTATCAGTGTAAGGAATGTGGAGTACCCTGCAGTTGTCCCTGTTACCTCAGCACTGCTGTGAGAACTCTAACTGGAGAGAAATCCTATGAATGTAAGAAATGCGGCGAAGGCTTTCGTCATTCCTCAAAGCTCACTATACATATGAGAATTCGCAGTGGAGAGACACCTTATGTATGTAAGGAATGTGGGAAAGCCTTTAGTCAGTCCTCAAACCTCGCTGCACATATGAGACTTCACAGTGGAGAGAGGCTTTATGAATGTGCGGAATGTGGGAAAGCCTTTAATCTTTCCTCAAACCTAGCTAGACATATAAGAATTCACAGTGGAGAGAGACGTTATGAATGTAAGGAATGTGGCAAAGCCTTTCATTGGTCCTCAGCCCTCACTGCAC